AAAAAAGTTAAAACAGTATTGAAGAAAACGATGTCTCCCAGAGAAATATAGGGACACGAGACACTTTATTGGTCTGAACTACAACATTTAAAATTTGAATTTTACATCTCACTATCTAAAAACAGTTCTTTCCTTTAGACTAAATCCTTTCTCCACAACTATATTGAATGCTCCTTGGAGGCAGTGACCATGTCTGATTCTTGAGGGCCGAGTATGGAAGAGGTACACAAAAACAGAATTCTGCTAATAGGTGAGAAAAGAATCATACCATGTGAATATGGGATTCAACATGGCAGGAGAGGGCAAGGCTGGGGTTGAAGCATAGCTTTAGAACCTGGGTTTTCCTTTTATTAAACCCTATGCTTAAAAACAAAGCAAAACACAAGTTAACACAATTTAAAAATTTTTAAAAAGAACTATGCTTTTCAATTCCTTAGGATTTTCTCAATCTTGGTATTCTTACATATCATTGACATGCTGCCCGTTCCTATTACTCTTGACACACAGGGTAGCAGTGAGGAGAGACATGGAGGTGTAGAACATCCTGGAAACCAGCTAAGATCTGTACATCCATTTAATTTCAAAATATTTCCACCATTACATCCCTAAGATACTGGTATGGTTTGGATTTGTGTCCCCGCCCAAATTTCAGTTCGAATTGGAGGAGTGGATGGTGGGAGGTGAATGAATCATGAAGGCAGATTTCTCCCTTGCTGTTCTCATGATAGTGAGTGAGTTCTCATAAGATCTGATGGTTTAAAAGTGTGTGGCACTTCTCTCTGCTCTCTGACTCTCCTGCTCCACCATGGGAAGATGTGCCTTGCTTCTCCTTTGCCTTCTGCCATGATTCTAAGTTTCCTGAGGTCTCCCAGCCATGCTTCCTGTTGTGCCTATGGAACTGTGAGCCAATTAAACCTCTTTTCTTCATGAATTATCCAGTCTCAGGTAGTTCTATATGGGAGTGTGAGAATGGACTACTATGGAAAATTGGAACTGGAAGTGGAGCACTGCTATAAAGACATTTCCACCTGAAAATGTGGAAGTGACTTTGGAACTGGGTAAGGGGCAGAGGTTGGAACAGTTTAAAGGGCTCAGAAAAAGACAGGAAGATGTGGAAAAGTTTAGAACTTCCTAGAGACTTGTTGAATGCTTTTGACCAAAATGCTGATAGTGATAGGCAATGAAGTCCAGGCTGAGGTTCTCTTAGATGGAGATGAGGAGCTTATTGGGAACTGAAGCAAAGGTCACTCTTGCTATGCTTTAGCAAAGAGACTGGCGGTATTTTGCCCCTGCCCTAGAGATCTGTGGAATGCTGAACTTGAGAGAGATGATTGAGGATATCTGGCAGAAGAAGTTTATAAGCAGCAAAGTATTCAAGATGTGACCTGGCTGTTTCTAAAAGTGTACAATGATATGCATGAACAAAGAGATTATCTGAAACTAGAACTTACATTTAACAGGGAAGCAGAGCATAAAAGTTTGAAAAATTTGCAGCCTGGCCATGTGTTACAAAAGAAAAACCCATTTTCTTGGAAGAAATTCAAGCCTGCTGTAGAAATTTGCATAAATAAAGAGGAGCCCGAAGCTGGGCGCAGTGGCTCATGCCTATAATTTCAGCACTTTGGGAGGCCAAAATGGGTGAATTACTTGAGGTCAGGAGTTCAAGACCAGCCTAGCCAACATGGTGAAACCCCATCTCTTAAAAATACAAAAATTAGCCAGGTGTGGTAGTGGGCACCTATAATCTCAGCTACTTGGGAGGCAGGAGAATCGCTCAAACCTGGGGGACAGAGGTTGCAGTGAGCCAAGACTGTGCCATTGCACTCCAGCGTGGGCAACAAGAGTAAAACTCCATCCAAAAAAAAATGGCTGGGTGCTGTGGCTCATGCCTGTAATCCCAGCAATTTGGGGGGGCCGAGGCAGGCAGATTACAAAGTCAGGAGATCAAGACCATCCTGGCCAACATGGTGAAACCCCATCTCTACTAAAAAAAAAAAAATTAGCTGGGCATAGTGGCACATGCCTGTAGTCCCAGCTACTCAGGAGGCTGAGGCAGGGGAACTGCTTGAACCCGGGTGGTGGAGGTTGTAGTGAGCCAAGATTGAGTCACTTCACTTCAGCTTGGCAACAGAGCAAGACTTCACCTCAAAAAATAAATAAATAAATAAATAAATAAAATTTTAAAAAGGCCAGATGCGGTGGCTCACACCTGTAATCCCAGCACTTTGGGAGGCTGATGCAGGTGGATCATGAGGTAAGGAATTCGAGAAGAGCCTGACCAACATGGTGAAACCCTGTCTCCACTAAAAATACAAAACTCAGCCAGGTGTAGTGGTGCACGCCTGTAATCCCAGCTACTGAGGAGGCTGAGTGAGACAATCGCTTGAACCTTGGAGGCAGAGACTGCAGTAAGCCGAGATCACACTCTAGCCTGGGTGACAGAGCGAGACTCTATCTCAAAAAAAAAAAAAAAAAGCCAAATGTTAATAGCCAAGGGGATGGGGAAAATGTCTCCAGGGCATTTCAGAGACCTTCACAGCAACCCCTCCCATCACAGGCCCAGGGGCCTAGGAGGAAAATAATGATTTCTTAGGCCAGGCCCAGAGCCTGGTGGCTTTGTGCAAACTTGGGACATGGCATCCTGTGTCCCAGCTGCTCCAGCTCCAGCTGTGGCTAAAAGGGGCCAAGGTACAGCTCGGGTCATTGCTTCAGAGGGTGCATGCCCCAAGCCTTCGTGTTCCATGTGGTGTTGGGTCTGTGGGTGTGCAAAAGGCAAGAGCTGAGGTTTGGAAACTTCCACCTAAACTTCAGAGGGATATATCAAAATATCTGGATAACCAGGCAGAAGTCTGCTGCAGGAGCGGAGCCCTAATGGAGAACCTCTATTTGGTCAGTAGAGATGGGAAATGTGGGGTTAGAGCCCCCACACAGAGTCCCCACTGGGGCACTACCTCGTGGAGCTGTGAGAAGAGGGCCACGGTTCTCCAGACTCCAGAATGGTAGATCCACCTTCAGTTTGCACTGTGTGCCTGGAAAAGCCACAGGCACTCAACACCAGCCTGTGAAAGCAGCCACAGGGGCTGTATCCTATAGAGCCACAGAGGCAGAGCTGCACAAGGCCTTGGGAGCCCACCCTTTGCATCAGCATGCCCTGGATGAGAGACATGGAGTCAAGGGAGATTATTTTAAAGCTTTAAGATTTAGTGACTGCCCTGCTGGGTTCTGAACTTGCATGGGTCCTGTAGCACCTTTGTTTTGGCCAATCTCTCCCATTTGGAATGAGGGCATTTACCCAACACCTGTACTCCCACTGTATCTTGCAAGTAGTTAACTTGTTTTTAATTTTACAGGCTCATGGAATGATGGCATTTACCCAATACTTGTACCCCCATTGTATCTTGAAAGTAGCTAACTTGTTTTTGATTTTATAGGCTCATGGGTGGAAGGGACATACCTTGTCTCAGATGAGACTTTGGACTGTGGACTTTTGAGTTGATGCTGAAATAAGTCGAGACTGGGGGACTGTTAAGAAGGGATAATTGTATTTTGCAATGCGAGAAGGACATGAGATTCTGGAGGGGCCTGGGATGAAATTATATGGTCTGGATTTGTGTTTCTGTCCAAATCTCATGTTGAATTGGAGGAGGGGCCTGGTAGGAGGTGACTGGATCACATAGGCAGATTTCCCCCTTGCTGTTCTCATGACAGCGAGTTCTCATGAGGTCTAATGGTTTTAAAGTGTGTGGCACTTTCTCCTGCTCTCTCTCACACACTCACTCTCTCTCTCTCTCTCCTGCCATCATGTGAAGAAGGTATCTGCTTTCCTTTTGCCTTCTGCCATGAATGTAAGTTTCCTAGGGCCTCCCAGCCATGCTTCCTGTTAAGATTACGGAACTGTGAGTCAGTTAAACCTCTTTTTTTCGTAAATTAACCAGTCACAGGTAGTTCTTTATAGCAGTGCGAGAACAGACTAATACAGATACCTTTAACTTAAAACCAAAATCATTGAAAGCAACTAGCAGGTTATCCAGTCACTTTAGCCAGATGCCTAGAAATCATTCTTGAATTTTCCTTTTATATCAACCTCAACACCACCAACTCCTATTGATTCTACTTCCTAAATTTCTTTTGAGCCCATTCTCTCTTCCTTGCTGCCACAGATTCACACTTGTCCATTCATTTCTCACCTAGATTATTCCAACAGGCCTCCCAGAAGAGGAGACAGAATGAGTCTTGACAAATAGAAGTCAGTCAAGCAGTGTGGTTTGTTTAGTTTAGAGAACTGTTCCCTACTGATGACACATAGGGCCTGTGTCAGGGAGTGGTAGATGATAAGGCAGGAGCGGGGACCAGGGACAGAACAGAAAGGGCCTTATGAGTTGTGCTAAAGGGTGTTTAGGCTTTATACTGAAAGGTTTTAAATAGTGGCCTGAAATTATCAGACTTGCATTTCAGAAAGAGGCTCTTTGTGGAGAAAAGTTTAGAGGGTAAGACTGAAAAACAAGAGGCTGGTTAAGAGTATGTTAGTGGGTCGGGCACAGTGGCTCACACCTGTAATCCCAGGACTTTGGGAGGCTGAGGTGGGTGGATCACCTGAAGTTATTCAGGAGTTTGATACCAGCCTGGCCAATATGGTGAAAACCCACCTCTACTAAAAATAGAAAAATTCGCTGGGCATGGTGACGGCTGCCGGTAGTTCCAGCTACTCGGGAGGCTGAGGCAGGAGAACTGCTTGAATCCAGGAGGTGGAGGTTGCAGTGAGCCAAGATCGTGCCACTGCATTCCAGCCTGGGTGACAAGAGAAAAACTCCATCTCACAAAAAACAGAGTGTGTTCATGAAAATGATTAGAACATGAACTAAGATGGCAGGAATATATATGAAAGACATAAAGGCAGGGTGCAAGCCGCCACCTTTCACCTTCCCTTCTTTTTAGGTGAGAATATCTATTCATATTTTAAGTGAGTTTGGTACAACAGACTCTCCTCTCAGCACACTTACCAAGAATAGGACGGGGGTTGGTGAGGAAAAGTGGTGCAGTGCTGGCGAGGACTTCAACAGCGGCCAGCCTAGACTCTGTAGGGAGATGGTCTTCACAGGACAAGATGACCAGCTGAACCCACTGTTTCAGCTCAGCAGATATCGATTCCCTGTTCTAAAACACAGAATGGACCTATCAGTAGTTCAGAAGAGACAACCAAGGGCTGACCTACATCAAACTGGGGCTGCAGATTCGCTCTTAGCTCCGTGAGAAGAAAGCTTTTCTATTCCAACTAGAGAGAAATATGCCCAAGGAAGAAAATCTGACTTGTCTTTTGGTACTAGGGAGTCACAAAAACTAGACAGCAAGTTCCTTTAGTCTTTTTCTTTCTTTCTTTCTTTTTTTGAGACAAGGTCTTGCTCTGTTGCCCAGGCTGGAGTGTTGCGATACTTGGCTCACTGCAACCTCTGCCTCCTGGGTTCAAGCGATCTGCCTCAGCCTCCTGAGTAGCTGGGAGTACAGGTGTGTGCCACCACACCTAGCTAGTTTTTATATATTTAGTAGAGACAGGGTTTCACTACGTTAGTCAGGCTGGTCTTGAACTCCTGGCCTCAAGTGATCTGCCCGCCTTGGCCTCCCAAAGTGTTGGGATTACAGGTGTGAGCCACTGCACCCAGCCTTCCTTTAGTCTTTTTGGATGCAAATCAGGTTATGAGAACACTGGCATACTTGATAGCTCTGGTAAAGACCAAACTTGTGGGGAAAACCATCCAGCAAATAATAACTTGTTGTCACCAATAACCAGATACTCCTCCTGTAGCAACAGAACCCCAGATTTTTGGCTGGGCCCAAGGGCACCCAGCTAGAGACTACATGTCCCAGTCTCTGACATTTGGGAGTAACATGTGATTACGTTATGAAGACTGGGATGACACTAGAAGTAGTAGTATCTGTGCACTTTCAAGTCATGCCTTAGGAAATGGCCATGATCTTTATTTCCTGGGTTTCCCCTTCCTGCTAGCTAAACAAGGATAAGATGGTGGAAGCTGGGGACCTAAGATAGAAGCTATGTGTTTAGGACAGCAGAACAGCAAAGTATGAGAACCTGGTGGCTCAACACTGTCAAGCTACATTTGCTTTGGACAGCTTCTATCTGATTTAAGCCACAGTATGAGTTTCTGTTACAACATTTAAAGCAGCATCACAGGCTGGGCACAGTGGCTCATGGCTGTAATCCCAGCACTTTTGAGGCCGAGGCAGTTAGATTACTTGAGGTCAGGAGTTCAAGACCAGCCTGGCCAATACGATGAAACCATGTCCCTACGAATATACAAAAATTAGCTGGACATGGTGGCTCATGCCTTTAATCCCTGCTACTCAGAAAGCTGAGGTAGCGGAATCGCTTGAACCCGGGAGGCAGAGGTAGCAGTGAGCTGAGATCATGCCACTGCACTGTAGCCTGGGAGAGAGAGCAAGACGAAGGAGGGAAGGCAGGGGAGAGGAGCGGAGGGGAGAGGAGGAGAGGGGAGGGGTAGACAGGGGAGGGGAGGAGTGACTTTAAGAACATATAATAACTGGTTAGAAACAGCTTTGGATAAGAATAATGCCTTGGCAGTCTTGTTAGGCTGCCTGGTGACTTCTGTCTTAAAACTTGGTGGGTTTTTTTTGTTTGTTTGTTTTTGAGACGGAGTCTTGCTCTGTTGCCCAGGCTGGAGTGCAGTGGCACGATCTTGGCCCACTCTAACCTCCACCTCCTGGGTTTAAGAGACTCTCCTGCCTCAGCCTCCTGAGTTAGCTAGGATTATAAGCACGCACCACCATGTCTGGCTAATTTTTGTAATTTTTAGTAGAGATGGGGTTTCGTCATGTTGGCTAGGCTGGTCTCGAACTTCTGACCTCAGGGTGATCTGCCCACCTTGGCCTCCCAAGGTGCTGGGATTATAGACATGAGCCACTGTGCTTGGCCCTGGTGTTTTTTTTTTTTTTTTTGAGACAGGGTCTCATTCTGTCGCTCAGGCTGGAGTGCAGTAGTGTGATCTCTTGGATCACTACAACCTCCGCCTCCCAGATTCAAGTGATTCTCCTGCCTCAGCCTCTGGAGTAGCTGGGATTACAGGCACCCGCTACCATGCACGGCTAATTTTTGTATTTCTTGGTAGAGATGGAGTTTCACTGCTGGTCAGGCTAGTCTTGAACTCCTGACCTCAGAGTGATCCACCCACCTCAGCCTGCCAAAGGGTTGGGATTACAGGCATGAGCCACCATGACCGGCCGGTGCTTTTCTTTGCCCTCTGGGCTATAGTTTTTTAGCAAATCATCTCCGTTCCTGTACTCTCTCCACCCCACCTGACTTTTTTTTTGGGCTTTTTGTATCTCCTAGTGACTTCCTAGGTTTGGCTCCTTGTCCTGCCTTTGAATGACAGATCCAAGGAAATTGGGCCTGTTTGTTAATTTCTACCCTCGGTTTTATCTCCGCCCAGCCTCATGCTCTCTGAACTTCACAATCTCCTCTATGAAGTCTTCTTCAGCCTCCTAACTCTTACTCCCTCCACTGGGTTCCCACGGCCCTGGCACATCTTCCTGCTAGAGCATAGAATGTAATTATCTAATGTTCTCTTTCTTTCATTAGACTGTATCTCTAGTCTCTGCTCATCTTTATATTTCAGTACCTATACATCAGTGCTAGGTTTATTGTAAGGGCTCTGGATTCACAGTGTTATGCCATCACCATCAGTGTGGCTGTGTGGAATCCAGATCTTCAGGTGATTTTCCTGTGGTATGGGCTGCCTTCTACTTGTGATTCTACGATGGTGCTATCTTTCTTGTATGTAATTAAGTAGCATGTATTTGTCTTAAGACATCTTCCCAGGAAGGTTGTTTTTCTTTTGTTCTACTTCACTAACAAAGGACATGTAAAACAGGTGGGGTGCATCTGGGCCTCCATCCGGAGCCAGCTGGGCCATGTTCTGCGGGAATATTTAAGCCTTAGTGATGTATTTTCATTTTTAGTTCATTAGGTTGCAAATATTTTTGGAAGTGACATGTTTATTCCTCTTTAAATAAAGAGTCTAGTTACAGAAATAGGGAAAAAAACAAGGGATTTGAGGATAAGTGTTTTAAGGGGAAGGTCCTGTTACCCCTAGGGACTCTTAATAAAAAAAAAAAAAGCCTAAAACAGGCCAGGCACAGTGGCTCATGTCTGTAATCCCAGCACTTTGGGAGGCCAAGGCGGGTGGATCACCTTAGGTCAGCAGTTCGAGACTAGCCTGGCCAACATGGTGAAATCTGTCTCTACTAAAAATACAAAAAATTAGCCAGGTGTGGTGGCAGGCACCTGTAATCCCAGCTACTCGGGAGGCTGAGGCAGGAGGATTGCTTGAACCTGGGAGGCAGAGATTGCACTAGGCCAAGATCATGCCACTGCACTCCAGCCTAGGCGAAAAGAGCAGAACTTAATAAAAAAAAAAAAAAAAAAAAAAAAAAAAGCCTAAAACAAGAGAAAAGAAAGGTGGTGTTCAAAGACGTCTTCCCGAGTTATACTTGAAGTGAAAAAGCAGCATGAACAATATTTTTGTAGATGTTACGTACACATGTCACAGGGGTTCTGCCTGCTGAGACAGTTTACTTCTACTGACACCTTCCGAGTAAATGAGAACACAAAAACCCAAGTCCCAGAACAAGAACAGAACCAGCCTTACCTCCACACATGTCTGCATATGGTGGGAAATGATTTTAGAGGCAAGTCTCAGAGCTACACTCTGTATTTCAGATCTAGAAAAATAAACAAACAAAAAAATCACACAAAATTACAATCAGACATATTTCATACATTGGTGTGTGTGTGTTTTGTTTTTTTTTTTGTTTTTTTTTTTGAGACAGAGTCTTGCTCTGTCGCCCAGGCTGGAGTGCAGTGGTGCAATATTGGCTCACTGCAACCTCCGCCTCATAGTTCAAGCGATTCTCCTGTCTCAGCCTCCTGAGTAGCTGGGATTACAGGCGAGCACCACCACGCCTGGCTAATTTTTGTATTTTTAGTAGAGACTAGGTTTCACCATGTTGGTCAGGCTAGTCTCAAACTCCTGATCTCATGATCCACCTGCCTCGGCCTCCCAAAGTGCTGGGATTACAGGCATGAGCCACTGCACCTGGCCCATACACTGGTTTTTGCAGACAGTCTGTAACCTATGCAGATGTGAACACTGGAAATCTCCACCTCCCGGTTACAAAAATGCCTCTGGAAGCAATTACCTTTGGTTATTAATGTGAATCACTGATATCACTCTATTGCTTGAGTTTAGAACTCTTAGGCTGAGGCTTAGAAGAAAATACAGGACCTGAGACCTGAGGCAAGGATTGTGAGCAAGTTCATTACACAATGACTGACGAGACCAGACACCCTACCAGGCTACACGTGAGGCACTGGGGGCAAACCTTTCATTGGAAGCAATATCCATCGTCCAGATCAAGAACTCCTTTGGGGTCAGATGGACACAGTGCTCCGTCTGGGGAAGCCACTCACTAGGGTTCATGCAGTGGAGAATTTTCAGTATCTGTTAAGTCAAATCCATGAAAAAAAAAGAGAAATAAATACTCAGGGAAAAGTCTCCAGATGTTAAATAATAGTTTTATCAACAACGGGTCTATCTTTCAAAAGGCCCTCACTGACTTATTTCCCCCATAATACCTTTGGGAGACTGAGGCAGGGTGAATGACTAACCAGAGGACCTCTAGTGATGGGACAGGAGCCAGATGCCCTGAGTCCTAGGCCCCTGCCCTTTCCTGGATTATGCTTTCCAGGTGGCCATCTGCCCTGAAATTGCCATGTCAGCAAAGACTACCTCTGACACTCTCTACAGTGAATTTTTAATGATCTGTTTCCTAAACATCCCAAAGTGGTTTGCTCTGTCTTTGGTTAATCTCTGCCATCAATACCCCTATCATCAAAAGCTTTTCTTGGTGCCCTAGGTATGACGCCGTGCAAACCATGATACAAAGAGAATCTTTATCCACTGGATGCTGAATCTACTTCCTATTGCCCCAGAGAGCACAAACCCAATCTTGCCTCCATGACCCCACCATTCCAGTGGCTCATAAAAGAATGTGGGGAGTAGAAAGGGGCAGTCAGTACATCGGAGGCCTTACCTTGTAGAAGCATTCTGGGTGATTCTCCTTCATGGCCAATAATAAGAATTTCTCTCCCATGTTGCACAGCAAGGGTGGCAGTTCCTTCTCTCCGAGTCCAGAGGCTGTCGACAAGAACTTTTCCAAGAGAGCTTCCAGTGTCAATGAGCGCACTTCAGGGAAGGTAGATTCTAACAGCCGAGAGAAAGAGATGGGGACGTCCCTCGCCCGCTTTCCACTCTCGGCTGCTGTGGCCCACACTGCAGCAATGGCTAATCTGGTGAGGCTCTGGAGGTACTGGGGCAGGCCTGGCACCTTGAAGGCACTGGGAAATCCTGTTATCAACTCTGATGCCGAGATAATCCCTCTGACTTCCTCCCAGAAGCCAAGATTCTCCAGAACTAAGAAGCAGAAAAAGCAAAGAGAAAGAGATAATCACTTTTTTTTTTTTTTTTTTTTTTT